ATATAGAGAGGGGGCGGGGCAACCAGAATTCTTTGCCCTGGTGTTGTGGGAAGGAAATCCCAACTTATATAGAGGTATGGGGAGGGGTGGTATATAGAGGTATAATATGGGGGAGGGGTGGTATATAGAGGTATAATATGGGGGAGGGGTGGTATATAGAGGTATAATATGGGGGAGGGGTGGTATATAGAGGTATAATATGGGGGAGGGGTGGTATATAGAGGTATGGGGGGGTATAATATGGGGGAGGGGTGGTATATAGAGGTATAATATGGGGGAGGGGGTGGTATATAGAGGTATAATATGGGGGAGGGGTGGTATATAGAGTATGGGGGGTATAATATGGGGGAGGGGTGGTATATAGAGGTATGGGGGGTATAATGGGGGAGGGGTGGTATATAGAGGTATGGGGGTATAATATGGGGGAGGGGTGGTATATAGAGGTATGGGGGGTATAATAAGGGGGAGGGGGTATAATATATAGAGGTATTTGGGGTATAATATGGGGGAGTATAGAGGTATGGGGGGGTATAATAAGGGGGAGGGGTGGTATATAGAGGTATGGGGGGTATAATATGGGGGAGGGGGGTATATAGAGGTATGGGGGGGTATAATATGGGGGCGGGGTGGTATATAGAGGTATTTGGGGGTATAATATGGGGGAGGGGTGGTATATAGAGGTATTTGGGGGTATAATATGGGGGAGGGGGGTATATAGAGGTATGGGGGGGTATAATAAGGGGGGGGTGGTATATAGAGGTATGGGGGGTATAATATGGGGGAGGGGGGTATATAGAGGTATGGGGGGTATAATATGGGGGAGGGGGGTATATAGAGGTATTTGGGGGTATAATATGGGGAAGGGGTGGTATATAGAGGTATTTGGGGGGTATAATATGGGGGAGGGGGGTATATAGGAGGTATGGGGGGTATAATATGGGGGAGGGGGGTATATAGAGGTATGGGGGGGTATAATATGGGGGAGGGGTGGTATATAGAGGTATTTGGGGTATAATATGGGGAGGGGTGGTATATAGAGGTATGGGGGGTATAATATGGGGGAGGGGGGTATATAGAGGTATGGGGGGTATAATATGGGGGAGGGGTGGTATATAGAGGTATGGGGGGTATAATATGGGGGGGGTTTTTATATAGAGAGGTATGGGGGGGTATAATATGGGGGAGGGGGGGTAGGTGGGGGGGTATATGTTATGGGGGGGGGTGGTATATAGAGGTATGGGGGGTATAATATGGGGGAGGGGTGGTGGTATATAGAGGTATGGGGGGTATAATATGGGGGAGGGGTGGTATAATAGGGGGGGGGGGGTGGTATATAGAGGTATAATGGGGTTTATAATATGGGGGAGGGGGTGGTATAATAGAGGTATGGGGGGTTGGGTATATATGGGGGAGGGGTGGTATATAGAGGTATAATATGGGGGAGGGGTGGTATATAGAGGTATGGGGGGGTATATATGGGGGGGGGGTGGTATATAGAGGTATGGGGGGTATAATATGGGGGGGGGGGGTGGTATATAGAGGTATGGGGGGGTATAATATGGGGGAGGGGGGGTATATAGAGGTATGGGGGGGTATAATATGGGGGGAGGGGTGGTATATAGAGGTGTGGGGGGGGTATAATATGGGGGAGGGGTGGTATATAGAGGTATAATAAATGGGGGAGGGGTGGTATATAGAGGTATGGGGGGTATAATATGGGGGAGGGGATGGGAAGGGTCACGTGATGTGGGCGGGTCCCGGGGGGGTCTCTGTCACTCACCCCTCCTATAATAGTCTCGTTGTTTCCTCTTCGGATCGCTGATTGGCTCTCACGTCACGTGGTTCCTGTGACGTCATTTCCCGGCTCTAGTCCCTCCTTGGAGTGGGCGGAGACCCTAAAGAACATCCTAATTCCTACACTTCGCTCCGCCCACCTCACGCGCGGTCCGATGGGTGTGGCTTTGGGGAAGGTCCCGCCTCTCCGTGTGTCACCTCCGCCGGGATTGGGGGAAATTTTAGGCGCCAATGTGCCTCTAACCCTTTCGTCACCAGTGTGATCCCAGAATACCCCTCCCCCTCCGGGGATACCCCTCCCCCTCTAGATATGCAGACTCCTCCCCCTCCGGGGATACCCCTCCCTCTCTAGATATGCAGACTCCTCCCCCGAGATTTTTTGGGGTGAGCCATGTGCAGCGCTGCCATTGGTGGATTGTACAGCTGAAGCTCAGATTACAGACTCCGCCCCTCTAGACTTCCAATCAGAGCGCAGCCACCCTCACCCCTGTACACCCCCAACACATATTAACCCCTCCCCCCCAGGATCCCCCCCCCTCAGAGGATTCCCCCCAGGATCCCCCCCCCCAGAGGATTCCCCAGGATCCCCCCCCTTAGAGGATTCCTCCCAGGATCCCCCCCTCAGAGGATTACCCCCCAGAATCCCCCCCCCCCCTCCAGAGGATTCCCCCCAGGATCCCCCCCCCCTTAGAGGATTCCCCCCAGGATCCCCCCTCCAGAGGATTCCCCCCCAGAGGATCCCCCCTCCAGAGGATTCCCCCCAGGATCCCCCCCCCCTCAGAGGATTCCCCCAGGATCCCCCCCCTCCAGAGGATTCCCCCCCCCCGAGGATTCCCCCCAGGATCCCCCCCCAGGACCCCCCCCCTTAGAGGATTCCCTTCCAGGATCCCCCCTCCAGAGGATTCCCCCCAGGATCCCCCCTCAGAGGATTCCCCCCCAGAATCCCCCCTCCAGAGGATTCCCCCCAGGATCCCCCCCCAGAGGATTCCCCCCAGGATCCCCCCCTCCAGAGGATTCCCCCCCCCAGGATCCCCCCCCCTCCAGAGGATTCCCCCCCCAGAATCCCCCCCCCCCCTCCAGAGGATCCCCCCCCCCCCAGGATCTCCCCCCCCTCAGAGGATTCCCCCCCAGAATCCGCCCTCCAGAGGATTCCCCCCAGGATCCCCCCCCGAGGATTCCCCCCAGGATCTACCCCCCCCCCCCCGAGGATTCCCCCCAGGATCCCCCCCTCCAGAGACCCGTGTTGTGTACATACAGACAATCTCTGGCCACCAATGGCGATCACATATATATCGGTGGTGTAGCACAGCTCCGCCCCCTGTCGCAGTACTCCTCCCATACGGCAGCGGGGGAGGGGCAATGACCAGGGCAGACCAGACGCTTGGGTGACTCCGTGTGTTCGGGGTGTACAGGGATGAGGTGACCACCCTACACTAGAGACTGGGGGGGTCATCCTGGGAGAGGATGGGGGAGGGGTAGTCAGGTGATGGGGGAGGGGTCAAGGGAGGGGTAGTCAGGTGATGGGGGAGGGGTCAAGGGAGGGGTAGTCAGGTGATGGGGAGGGGTTGAAGGAGGGGTAGTCAGGTGATGGGGGAGGGGTTGATGGAGGGGTAGTCAGGTGATGGGGGAGGGGTTGATGGAGGGGTAGTCAGGTGATGGGGAGGGCCTGAGGGAGGAGTAGTCAGGTGATGGGGGGGGTTGAGGGAGGGGTTGTCAGGTGATGGGGAGGGTCTGAGGGAGGGGTAGTCAGGTGATGGGGGCGGGGGTTGAGGGAGGGGTTGTCAGGTGATGGGGGAGGGGTTGAAGGAGGGGTAGTCAGGTGATGGGGAGGGGAGGGAGGGGTAGTCAGGTGATGGGGGAGGGGGTTGAAGGAGGGGTAGTCAGGTGATGGGGAGGAGTTGATGGAGGGGTAGTCAGGTGATGGGGAGGGGAGGGGTAGTCATGGGTAGGATGAGGGAGGGGTTGTCAGGTGATGGGGAGGGCTGAGGGAGGGGTAGTCAGATGATGGGGAGGGGTTGAGGGAGGGGTAGTCAGGTGATGGGGGCGGGGTTGAGGGAGGGGTAGTCAGGTGATGGGGGAGGGGTTGAAGGAGGGGTAGTCAGGTGATGGGGAGGAGCTGAGGGAGGGGTAGTCAGGTGATGGGGGAGGGGTAGTCAGGTAATGAGGGAGGGGTTGTCAGGTGATGGGGGCGGGGTTGAGGGAGGGTAGTCAGGTGATGGGGGGGGGTTGAGGGAGGGGTAGTCAGGTGATGAGGAGGGGGGGGTAGTCAGGTGAATGGGAGGGGGTAGTCAGGTGATGGGGAGGGGTTGAGGGTCAGGGGTCCCAATGTTAGGTGATGGGAGCGGGGTTGAGAAAGGGGTAGTCAGGTGGGGGGGAGGGTTTGAGGGAGGGGTAGTCAGGTGATGGGGGCGGGGTTGAGGGGGGGGTAGTCAGGTGATGGGGAGGGTTGGGGGTTGTCAGGTGATGAGGGGTTAGTCAGGTGATGGGGGGAGGGGTAGTCAGGTGATGGGGGGAGCTGAGGGAGGGGTAGTCAGGTGATGGGGAGGGGTTGAGGGAGGGGTAGTCAGGTGATGGGGAGGGGTTGAGGAGGGGTAGTCAGGTGATGGGGGGGAGGGGGGGTTGTCAGGTGATGGGGAGGGGTTGAGGGAGGGGTAGTCAGGTGATGGGGGAGGGGTTGTCAGGTGATGAGGAAGGGGTTGTCAGGTGATGGGGAGGAGCTGAGGGAGGGGTTGTCAGGTGATGAGGGAGGGGTTGTCAGGTGATGGGGCGGGGTTGAGGGAGGGGTAGTCAGGTGAGGGGCGGGGTTGAGGGAGGGGTAGTCAGGTGATGGGGGAGGGGTTGTCAGGTGATGGGGGAGGGGTTGTCAGGTGATGGGGCGGGGTAAGTCTGGTGATGAGGGAGGGGTAGTCAGGTGATGGGGGAGGGGTTGTCAGGTGATGGGGAGGGGTAGTCAGGTGATGAGGGAGGGGTAGTCAGGTGATGAGGGAGGGGTAGTCAGGTGATGGGGCGGGGTTGGGGAGGGGTAGTCAGGTGATGGGGGGGGAGGTTGAGGGAGGGGTAGTCAGGTGATGGGGGAGGGGTTGTCAGGTGATGGGGGAGGGGTTGTCAGGTGATGGGGGAGGGGTTGGGTCATCTTGGTCCCAATGTTTCGTTTCTCTTTATCGGTTGGTGGATGGGTGTCATGTGACTCAGGCCGGAGGTGACACCTATGAGGGGCGCCCTCTGATTGGATGTTTTGTGGGGGGTTTGTAGGTAGAGGAGGAGTAACCTGTGTGTGGCGAGTCGGCGGTGGGGGCCCTCGGTGGCCCCGTCTCTCGGCTCCTGGTCCTAGGGAAAGAGCGGGGGGGGACAGCAGGATGGCCACATCTGGGGTGTCCAGTAGGGGGAGCATTGCTCGCTGAGGGGGGAGAAGAGGCCCCTACAGGGGACAGGCGGACAGGAAGTCTGGGGTACCAGGTCTGCAGGGGCAGGGCAAAGCAACGGGGAGCCTCCAGGGCGGAGCCATGTGGTAAAAGAGCAGGGGCGGAGTCAGATTAGAAGCGAGCCGAAGGAGGAGCCTAGAAGTTGGTGGAGCGCCAAACACTGAAGGGAAATGTGTCCGCCAGGTCAGCACCGGGTGTGCAGGGTGAGAGGGCGGAGTCATGCCATGGGGGAGGGGCATGCATACAGAGAATAGTGAGGGGAAAGGGTGAGCAAGAGGCCAAGGAAGTGCGGGGGTGGGGGTGGGGGGTGGGGGGGAGAGGAGAGAGTTAGTCTGAGAATGATCATAAGATACAATATCCCCCCTAGTAGTAAACACTGCTCCGCCCACAGGGGGCGTGGTCAGTGCGCCGCCTCCCCAATCAGATTGCGTGGGTTCTGCCTCTACAGTCCTCCGTCTTGGTGGAAACACTCAGCCATGTTACCGCCATTGTGTCCATCACCAACCGCCATCCAGACCTATCATGGAGGACCAACTCACCCCTCTGCAGCCTCCACCTTTTGTCCTCCATCTTGTATTAGGCCACGCCTTTATCACCAGAAAGCCGGAATGTGGCCGGGTGAGCCTCCATCTACTTTCCAGTGACCACAGAGCCTCCATCTTGTATTTAGTCATCTCCAGACAACCACCAGCATGCTGGCCTGGAACCCTTCACCTCATCTACTCCACGTTGAGGAGCCAGCCTCCATTGTGTAACTCATGCCTCCATCTTGCTGTGGTTCCACCACATCTCCATATGGATCGCATGGTTCCGATTGGTCCACTTCCATACTTTGCATCTTCCGGAGAAAGGCCATTCCACTCGGAGAATGTCACATCCCATCAGTGAGATATTCGTGGTGGTGACTGCCATTGATGTCCTAGGTCTGGAGGCCACGTATGATTCTGGTTGATGTCCTAGGTCTGGAGGCCACGTATGATTCTGGTTGATGTCCTAAGTCTGGAGGCCGCGTATGATTCTGGTTGATGTCCCAGGTCTGGAGGCCACGTATGATTCTGGTTGATGTCCTAAGTCTGGAGGCCACGTATGATTCTGGTTGATGTCCCAGGTCTGGAGGCCACGTATGATTCTGGTTGATGTCCCAGGTCTGGAGGCCACGTATGATTCTGGTTGATGTCCTAGGTCTGGAGGCCGCGTATGATTCTGGTTGATGTCCCAGGTCTGCCTACGTGGAGGCCACGTATGATTCTGGTTGATGTCCTAAGTCTGGAGGCAGCGTATGATTCTGGTTGATGTCCCAGGTCTGGAGGCCACGTATGATTCTGGTTGATGTCCTAGGTCTGGAGGCCGCGTATGATTCTGGTTGATGTCCCAGGTCTGGAGGCCACGTATGATTCTGGTTGATGTCCTAAGTCTGGAGGCCGCGTATGATTCTGGTTGATGTCCTAGGTCTGGAGGCCACGTATGATTCTGGTTGATGTCCTAAGTCTGGAGGCCGCGTATGATTCTGGTTGATGTCCCAGGTCTGGAGGCCGCGTATGATTCTGGTTGATGTCCTAAGTCTGGAGGCCACGTATGATTCTGGTTGATGTCCTAAGTCTGGAGGCCACGTACGATTCTGGTTGATGTCCTAGGTCTGGAGGCCACGTATGATTCTGATTGATGTCCTAAGTCTGGAGGCCACGTATGATTCTGATAGATGTCCTAGGTCTGGAGGCCACGTATGATTCTGGTTGATGTCCTAGATCTGTAGGCCACGTATGATTCTGGTTGATGTCCTAGATCTGGAGGCCACTTCTGATTCTTGTTGATGTCCTAGATCTGGAGGCCACATATGACTCTGGTTGATGTCCTAGGTCTAGAGGCCACGTATGACTCTGGTTGATGTCCTAGATCTGGAGGCCACTTATGATTCTGGTTCATGGCCCATGTCTGGAGGCTACATAAGGTTCTGGTTGATGTCCTAGGTCTGGAGGCCACGTATATTTCTGGTTGATGTCCTAAGTCTGGAGGCCACGTATGGTTCTGAGATGTCCTATGTCTGAAGGCCACATATGATTCTGTTTGATGTTCTGGGTTTGGAGGCCATATATGATTCTGTTTGATGTCCTAGGTCTGGAGGCCACGTATAGTTCTGAGATGTCCTACGTCTGAAGGCCACGTATGATTCTGTTTGATGTTCTGGGTTTGGAGGCCATATATGATTCTGTTTGATGTCCTAGGTCTGGAGGCCACATATGGTTCTGGTTGATATCCTAAGTCTGGAGGCCACGTATGGCTCTGAGATGTCCTAGGTCTGCAGGCCATGTATGATTCTGTTTGATGTTCTGGGTCTGGAGACCAAATATGATTCTGATTGATGTCCTAGGTCTGGAGGCCACGTATGGTTCTGGTTGATATCCTAAGTCTGGAGGCCACGTATGGCTCTGAGATGTCCTAGGTCTGCAGGCCATGTATGATTCTGTTAGATGTTCTAGGTCTGGAGGCCGCGTATGATTCTGGTTCTGGTCCCCAGTCTTTGGATTGGCTTTTCCCATCTCCAGGCGGTTTGGTAAGGACACAGTGGGCACATTGTTGGGTGGAATATGTGGCCATATTTCATGGCTGAGTGTTTTTACCAATTGACCATCATTGTACATTCTTGTCTTTCCTAGAATTCCCCCTCCCCCCCCATACTATTCACCATGGCCTTACCTTCTAGGCCCTCTGTAGTCACCACCATCCGCCATTCCTCTCCGCTGCACCCCCGCCTTGTTCTCCTTTGTGAGGGCTTCCTCCTTTCTGTTGTACACGTTGCTGAATGATGCGGGTGAACGGAGCTTCCCCATCCTCATGGTCATGACGGACAGCGAGTCCACCAGCGTGCCGGCTTGGTGATCATTCCGTGCCCATAGTCTATGTGGGGCTTCTGCTGTGTCCAGCTCTTGTAGCTTCATATCTGCTTTCTGAGCTCCTCTGGCCGGCCCGATGTTGCCCTCTTGTGTCCCTCGTTCTTGCCCATCACTCTCTCTTGTGGGGTCTTGATGGTTCTTTCTATCTATGAAGTAATGGGAACTGTTTGGTACCTCCATTATTAGCTGGGTATCCGCAGCATTAGTGGTCCCCAAGTTTTGTGGCCCCTTGACCACAGCGATGGGGGCTTTTACATGTTGACTGATCTGCTTGTTGACAGAATTGCGATATCTCAGTTCCCTGAAGGTGGTGACCTCTTTTCCTTCTGGCAGAGGTTGAGCTTGTGGCATCACCAGCCCATGGTAGAAAGCTGAGGCTGTGAGTTCGTTTACCGGTGGCTGCTCCACATCTGGAGAAAAAACTATTAGCCAATCACTTTTATCCTTCTTTAGCTGCGCCGGGCCCCCGCTCTTCCGCCTTCTTTGAGCCAGTTTCGTGGAAGGAGGTGATCGTCTTTTTGGGGGTTTGTGCTGAAGGCTCATCTGGCACAGAGAGGTTTGGGAGAAGATCTCCATCCAAAGGCCATCGGTGAACATCTGTTTGGTTTGCATTGGCAACGTCCCTCTTTTTCTGCAACATCCGGTTGGAGTTTTGGATCCACAACTTCATCCACGTCCATGGAGGTAGAATACAATGATGGCGGATCGGGCTGTTGAGTGTCTAGAAGGGAATTGCAGTTGCTGTCTAAGACCGTGTCTGAGCTCCAGTCAATGAATGGGACATCATCTGGGAACATGTTGTTGTTGATGGTGTTCTCAGGCATGTTACTCCTTGGCTCAGAAGCCAGAGCAGTGATTGGGTGTGAAGAATCTATGGAGTCATCTAGGGAAGAAGAAGGAGAGTTCTCTCTCTCCACATCAAGAGGAATGATGTCTGGTTGCTGGTCTGGTGTCTCCAGGTCATCTTGAGAATATTCCTTGTAGTACATAGACACCGGAGAATCATCCAATGTGAAATCTGAAGAGCTACTGCTGTCTGTGGAGGGAGATGATGGAGATAGGGGACTCAGCGGGAAGGTCATCTGGAGACAGATAGTCGTCACACAAAATTGTCTCCAGGTTCTCACTGGAGCTGTACTTTATGGTCTCTGCATGGCAGGAATGCTGGTCACAGCACTGGCAGGGCACAGATGGGTCATTGGAATTGGCGTCCACCAATAGCATATCCGAAGTGCCTTTATATTGGTTTTGATGGGCAGGAACATCTTTCAGGCTTGTGTCCTGACCCACTGGGTCTTCCATCACCTCAGACCGCATGGTCAGTTGAACCCCAAGGGACACATGCTGTAGGTGGACATAATTCAGGTTGCTAATGAGGGCTTTTCTAGAGGTCAGCATCTTGTGATTGGTCCCGAAAGCTCTCACTCAATGGAAACGCTGACTGAGCTCAGAGCTAGTCACCAAGAACCTTTGTCATGATGAAGAAAGTGGCCAAAGCCTCTTCCAGTGGATACAAAAGTCCTTCATCAGAGGAGATGTCCCATAACGAGTCAGTTCCTTCTATCCAAAAAGGGACTTATCTGGTCAGCAGAGTTTTTCTTGTGGGACAACCTGCAGAAGAGAAGACAAGAACCGGGCAGGTCCAACAAGAGGTTATTCATCCCGTCTCATCAACAGGACTTACAAACACAGAGCACATCGTGGGAGAACGACGGGAACACATGTGAAGACAAACTACAAATTGTTGCTGGAGGACAGGATACAACTGAATGGACCACCAAGACCAAATGGCCTCTCCAAGCATGGATTACACACAAATATGGTGGAGTACAGACCAGGACAGAAGTGGAAGCTGCAGAGGGAACATTACAGGAAGAACATCAACAGATGACGATGAATCCGACACCTTTCCTGGCTTGGTTTACAGATGGCATTTTCCCTCATTTCTCCTTCTGTAGGATATTTTCTGACCCATTTGCCTCCAACCTTCCACCCCGGGGTCAGTGTTCCCGATTTTCATGTGATGGAAAAAATGGTCTAAAGATTATTGGAGATGTCTCCTGCATGGGTTTGTTTCAGCAGATTGTACACCATTTCCTCTCCTCTCATGAATAATTCACAAGCCTCAGTTTATTAACACTCAGATCTCCAGTGTGAGGAGCTCTCTGAACCTGGGTGCTGTTATGTCATCTGCAACCAATCTCCTCATCTCTGGATCACACATGGCTGCCTCTACCCCATCCCATAATCCTTCTCCTTGGTGGGCCCCGTGTCTCCCATCCCAGAAACCTTCTCCTTGGTGGGCCCATGTCTCCCATCCCAGAAACCTCCTTGGAGGGACCGTGTCTCCCATCCCAGAAACCTTCTCCTTGGTGGGCCCGTGTCCCCCATCCCAGAAACCTTCTCCTTGGTGGGCCCGTGTTCTCCCATCCCAGAAACCTTCTCCTTGGTGGGCCCATGTCCCCCATCCCAGAAAGCTTCTCCTTGGTGAGCCCATGTCCCCCATCCTATAAACCTTCTCCTTCGGTGATCCCCGTGTCTCCCATCCCAGAAACCTTCTCTTTGGTGAGCCCATGTCTCCCATCCCAGAAAGCTTCTCCTTGGTGAGCCCATGTCCCCCATCCTATAAAACCTTCTCCTCGGTGAGCCCGTGTCTCCCATCCCAGAAACCTTCTCTTTGGTGAGCCCATGTCTCCCATCCCAGAAACCTTCTCCTTGGTGAGCCCATGTCCCCCATCCTATAAACCTTCTCCTTGGTGGGCCCATGTCTCCCATCCCAGAAACCTTCTCCCTTGGTGAGCCCATGTCCCCCATCCTATAAACCTTCTCCTTGGTGGGCCCGTGTCCCCCATCCTAAACCTTCTCCTTGGTGGGCCCATGTCTCCCATCCCAGAAACCTTCTCTTGGTGAGCTCCATGTCCCCCATCCTATAAACCTTCTCCTTGGTGGGCCCATGTCTCCCATCCCAGAAACCTTCTCCTTGGTGAGCCCATGTCCCCCATCCTATAAACCTTCTCCTTGGTGGGCCCAGGTCTCCCATCCCAGAAACCTTCTCCTCGGTGGGCCCGTGTCCCACATCCCAGAAACCTTCTCCTCGGTGAGCCCGTGTCCCCCATCCCAGAAACCTTCTCCTTGTGAGCCCATGTCCCCCATCCCAGAAACCTTCTCCTTGGTGAGGCCCGTGTCTCCCATCCCAGAAACCTTCTCTTTAGTGAGCCCATGTCTCCCATCCCAGAAACCTTCTCCTTGGTGAGCCCATGTCCCCCATCCTATTAAACCTTCTCCTTGGTGGCCCATGTCTCCCATCCCAGAAACCTTCTCCTTGGTGAGCCCATGTCCCCCATCCTATAAAACCTTCTCCTTGGTGGGCCCAGGTCCCTCCCAGAAACCTTCTCCTTGGTGGGCCCATGTCCCCCATCCTATAAAACCTTCTCCTTGGTGGGCCCAGGTCTCCCATCCCAGAAACCTTCTCCTCGGTGGGCCCGTGTCCCCCATCCCAGAAAACCTTCTCCTTGGTTGGCCCGTGTACCCCCATCCCAGAAACCTTCTCCTTGGTGAGCCCATGTCCCCCATCCCAGAAACCTTCTCCTTGGTGGCCCATGTCTCCCATCCCAGAAACCTTCTCTTTAGTGGCCCATGTCTCCCATCCCAGAAACCTTCTCCTTGGTGAGCCCATGTCCCCCATCCCAAAACCTTCTCCTTGGTGGGCCCATGTCTCCCATCCCAGAAACCTTCTCCTTGGTGAGCCCATGTCCCCCATCCCAGAAACCTTCTCCTTGGTGAGCCCATGTCCCCCATCCTATAAACCTTTTCCTTGGTGGGCCCATGTCCCCCATCCATAAACCTTCTCCTTGGTGGGCCCATGTCTCCCATCCCAGAAACCTTCTCCTTGGTGGCCCGCGTGTCCCCCATCCCAGAAACCTTCTCCTTGGTGGGCCCATGTCCCCCATCCTATAAACCTTCTCCTTGGTGGGCCCATGTCTCCCATCCCAGAAACCTTCTCCTTGGTTGGGCCCATGTCCCCATCCCAGAAACCTTCTCCTTGGTGGGCCCATGTCCCCATCCCAGAAACCTTCTCCTTGGTGAGCCCATGTCCCCCATCCCAGAAACCTTCTCCTTGGTGGGCCCATGTCTCCCATCCCAGAAACCTTCTCCTGGTGAGCCCATGTCTCCCATCCCAGAAACCTTCTCCTTGGTGAGCCCATGTCCCCCATCCTATAAACCTTCTCCTTGGTGGGCCCATGTCTCCCATCCCAGAAACCTTCTCCTTGGTGGGCCCATGTCCCCCATCCCAGAAACCTTCTCCTTGGTGGAGCCCATGTCCCCCATCCTATAAACCTTCTCCTTGGTGGGCCCATGTCCCCCATCCTATAAACCTTCTCCTTGGTGGGCCCATGTCTCCCATCCCAGAAACCTTCTCCTTGGTGAGCCCATGTCCCCCATCCTATAAACCTTCTCCTTGGTGGGCCCGTGTCTCCCATCCCAGAAAACCTTCTCCTCGGTGGGCCCGTGTCCCCATCCCAGAAACCTTCTCCTCGGTGGGCCCGTGTCCCCATCCCAGAAACCTTCTCCTTGGTGGGCCCGTGTCCCCCATCCCAGAAACCTTCTCCTCGGTGGGGGGCCCGTGTCCCACATCCCAGAAACCTTCTCCTCGGTGAGCCCGTGTCCCCCATCCCAGAAACCTTCTCCTTGGTGAGCCCGTGTCCCCCCATCCCAGAAACCTTCTCCTTGGTGAGGCCCGTGTCTCCCATCCCAGAAATCTTCTCCTTGGTGGGCCCATGTCTCCCATCCCAGAAACCTTCTCCTTGGGTGCCCATGTCCCCCCCGTAAACCTTCCCCCCTTCCCAGAAACCTTCTCCTTGGTGGCCCATGTCCCCCATCCTATAAACCTTCTCCTTGGTGGGCCCATGTCTCCCATCCCAGAAACCTTCTCCTTGGTGAGCCCATGTCCCCCATCCTATAAACCTTCTCCTTGGTGGGCCCAGGTCTCCCATCCCAGAAACCTTCTCCTTGGTGAGCCCATGTCCCCCATCCTATAAACCTTCTCCTTGGTGGGCCCATGTCTCCCATCCCAGAAACCTTCTCCTTGGTGAGCCCATGTCCCCCATCCTAGAAACCTTCTCCTTGGTGGGCCCAGGTCTCCCATCCCAGAAACCTTCTCTAGGTCAGTGGCCCGTGTCCCCATCCCAGAAACCTTCTCCTTGGTGGGCCCGTGTCCCCCATCCCAGAAACCTTCTCCTCGGTGGGCCCGTGTCCCCCATCCCAGAAACCCTCCTTGGTGGGCCCGTGTCCCCCATCCCAGAAACCTTCTCCTCGTGGGCCCTGTCCCACATCCCAGAAACCTTCTCCTTGGTGAGCCCGTGTCCCCCATCCCAAACCTTCTCCTTGGTGACCCGTGTCCCCCATCCCAGAAACCTTCTCCTCGGTGGTGGGCCCGTGTCCCCCATCCCCAGAAACCTTCTCCTCGGTGGGCCCATGCCTGCCCTCTTCCCTAGATTTAGTGATCCTGGGGCTTGCCCCACCCCCCTTTAAGACCGAACACATATTAATGACACCGCTTCTGTGGCTGATTTAATGTAGAGAAGACCCGGGGTCATTATATGTGTTCATCTAGGAGTGACCCACCCCATTCTTTTCCCCAGATCAATGACCCACCCCACCCCCTTCCCTAGATCCAGTGACCCACCCCACCCTTCCCTAGATCCAGTGACCCCACCCTACCCCCCCAGGTCCAGTGACCTAACCCTGCCCCCTTCCCCGAGATCCAGTGACCCAACTACCCCCTTCCCCAGATCCAGTGACCCACCCTACCCTCTTCCTCAGATCCAGTGACCCACCCTACCCTCTTCCCCAGGTCCAGTGACCCAACTACCCTCTTCCCAGGTCCAGTGACCCAAACTACCCCCTTCCCCAGGTCCCAGTGACCCAACTACCCCCCTTCCTCAGGTCCAGTGACCCACCCTACCCCCTTCCCCAGATTTAGTGACCCAACTACCCCCTTCCCCAGGTCCAGTGACCCACCCTACCCCCTTACCCCAGGTCCAGTGACCCTTCTACCCCCTTCCCCAGGTCCAGTGACCCACCCTACCCCTTTCCCAGATCCAGTGACCCACCCTACCCCTTACCCAGTCCAGTGACCCTTCTACCCCCTTCCCCAGGTCCAGTGACCCACCCTAAGAAACCCCCTTTCCCAGATCCAGTGACCCATCTACCCCCCTTCCCCAGATCCAGTGACCCACCCTACCCTCTTCCTCAGATCTAGTGACCCACCCTACCCCCCCCTTCCCCGGGTCCAGTGACCCAACTACCCCCTTCCCCGGGTCTCCAGTGACCCACCCTACCCCCTTTCCCCAGGTCCAGTGACCCAACTACCCCCTTCCCCAGATCCAGTGACCCAC